ATACAAAAACGTGGAGACAACCAAACAATTGTTTCAGTAAAATCTTGTTAATGAGAGTTTGCTTAGGAAAAACTTTTGGTTAACATGAACCCAATTTTAGTCCCAGCAGGTGTGCATTACTGTTGTTAGTCTCCAGTTAGCAAAGTTTAAAAAAACACACACCCACACACACACAAACTTGATCTTTTCTCCATTGGAATTTGTATTAACAAGGTTTTACTGTGTCAGATATTCACATAAGCGTGTGGGGATTAGTGAATAATTAATATAAACTAACCATGTAAGCATGTATATAATTGTCTATGTATACTTGTGTAAAACATATATATATAAATGTAGCTTAACTAATCATTTATGCACATAGAAGTAAATGAATAATTGTTTGAAAAATAACAGAACACTAGTTCACCCTGTCAGAGAAAAATATAACATCAATCTGCCCTGTCTAATGAAAAAAATAACATTAGTTCCATGTCTGAAAGAAAATGTAACACACTGGTTGGCCCTGTCTTTCCATACAGGGAGACAACAGCAAGTTCAGTCTTCTTATTCTTCAAGTTTACTAAATGTAAACTCTGGCTGTTCATCCATTCTGAATTCTTGTAATGTTCCAAAAACTTGAATGTTTTGTGTACATCTGTTTTATGGACCAGACTCATTTGTATGCAGACTGCTGGTCACTTACCTCTCAGGCAGATGCACTCTGACTTTGAAGGAAGCTAACAGTTTGTCGACTTTTAGGACATGCTTGTTGGGGAGGCAATGAGTGTGTTCCTGTTTTACCCAGAATGGAGCCCTGAGGCCACGGAACCCACATGGAGAAGCAACTAGGGCGACTTATTACTCTGATGTTGAGAAAGTACAACTCTAAGGGCTGGAGTGGCTATATGGTGTGGCTTTCACCTTTATGTGGTCAGCGTGACTTTAATGCAAGACTTTGCTAGGAGAGGTCTGGGTTTAAATCCAGTTCTCAGGATAATTTGTTTATGAGGAACGTGAAGATGCAACACTTCCACCGGTTCTCTGGGTAGTGGATCAGATGCCTAATCTTCTCAGGCTAACAGGGAGAAATTGAAGGTCTCAGTGCATATCTGCACATTGGTTCTCTGAAAAATGAGTGCTTAGAAGGGCCGAATGTCAGACAGGCCTGCGTGCCCAATTTGTAACCCTTTGAAAATAAAGTTTGTTCGTTCATTTGTTCTGTTACAATTTCTCTTTATTGATGAGAATGTAACAAGCAGGCCATACAGACCACTAGAATGTAACAAGCAGGAAATACAGACCACTAGAATGTAACAAGCAGGCCGTACAGACCACTCGAATGTAACATGGGAAGACTGACCCACAATTATTTATCATCATCATCATGTAGCAGGTCCTTTGCAGGATGCTTCCATTATAAGTGTCTAGTAATAATAATGTGGTAGTTTCCCTCTGCTTTCCACATCCACATGCCTTTAGACTACGTCCTCAACCTTTGGCAACCTTTCAGACTGCCAGGACTTGAAGAGAATATTTATAGAATGTATTAAAAAGTTAAGACAAACCCAGTCTTAAGAAATGCTGTGCTAAAGCCATACATATATTAGCCAAAAGATGAAAATACTGCAGCTTCACTGGAAATGGACAAACATATAATAAATATTCCTTTCAGGCTGAATGAGGCAGACGTAAATAGTTTGACAGATCATATGAAAATAACAAGCTAGTACACAATCATAAAAATGTAAAGAATCAAACATGAATTTTATACAGTGAGGAATGGTGTTTAGACTGAATGTACAGTTAAAAAAATGTCTGCAGTTTATCAGCATGCAGGAAAAATGTCTGCCACCAAGCATTTATACTTTGTTACACATCAGCAGACAACAATAAGCATGAAAAAATGACATATTTTGGTTTTGCTAGAATTTAATAACTAATATCACCCTGTCGGCATCTGCCACCTAGGTGTTGTAAACAGATAGCTGGCTTGATTCCAGCGGCAGGCAATTTGGTAGCAGACCGAACTGCTCTGGTTTCAACAGTGATGACAAGAGCGGATTGTTTGGAGGGCAATGGCAAACTTCTCTGTGTAAAAATGCTTAGTCAAACACAAACAGCCAAAAAATACTGCTGTTGGTTCTGCAATGTCCTGTAAAGGAAACCCAACTAACATTTTTAATATCACTCCAAATTCAAAACAATAACTCCACTTTCTCGATTAGAAGGTATAAAATCAAGGATGAGGTACTAAGAAAAAAGGTATGAACAGAACCAATGATAAATAACATATAAAGGCAGCAAATAAAATGGTTTGCCCACTAAGAGATGGTCGTGTGATGCAATACAAAACAAGGCATCTCAGAGAAGGAGGAATAGTCTGAGGTAGACCAGGACAAGGTGGAAAGATAACTCTACAACAGCATTAATGTGATCAGAAGAGCTAGAACTAGAACATTGTATCTTCTTCTACATCAGAAGCGATAAAAACGGAAGTGAAGGAGAACTCTTATTATCTTGCTACAAATATGAGGCAGTGTTTCTGAAAAATTTGGCACAACTAAGAAATTATTATTTGTTAATTGTTCTTAATGACTTATTAACCAAATAACACACGATCCATTAACTCTAAGATCTATATCTATCATACATTTCTTATTTTTCTATTACATTAATTTATTTGATCATATTTACTACTTTAGCTCATTCCATTTCATAGTCAAATTATGGTAACCCAGGCAAGCTGAAAGTTGTATCACTTAAATAGAAAAACTGTTGAGACAGAAAGTGCTGAAGTTATGACCGCCTGGAAGACTACAGAGAAAGTTAAATAATTTATTCAGTTTATCAGTCTACAGAGATGGCTAAATAATTTATTCAGTTTATCAGTCTACAGAGATGGTTAAATGATTTATTCAGTTTATCAGTCTACAGAGATGGCTAAATAATTTATTCAGTTTATCAGTCTACAGAGATGGCTAAATAATTTATTCAGTTTATCAGTCTACAGAGATGGTTAAATGATTTATTCAGTTTATCAGTCTACAGAGATGGTGAAATGATTTATTCAGTTTATCAGTCTACAGAGATGGTTAAATAATTTATTCAGTTTATCAGTCTACAGAGATGGTTAAATGATTTATTCAGTTTATCAGTCTACAGAGATGGTTAAATGATTTATTCAGTTTATAGATCTAAAGAGATGGTTAAATGATAGGGTTTTTCTACCACATGAATTGAACAATTTTAGACTAGTTTCACAGAGTTCTAAGAAATCAGCAAAATACTGTACTTGCAACTACTATACTTAAAACATTGACAAATATGAAAAAAAATGTTCAAAACATTATTTTAGAAGCTGTACATGTAGACATTATCTAACACTTGTTAACTTAACATTATTTTATGACCGTTAACTTCTAGAAAATGTTTCTCTACTGTCAGAGGTTTAACATCAAGCTACAAATGAAGCTGAGAATTCTTTTAGTCAGACGCCTGCCAGATGATCTTCTTCAACCTTCCAAGCCCATGAGGTTCATTGCTGCTGATCTTACCTGCCTCCATTTATCTCTGTGATCAGCCTTCGCTTTCCATTTGGTGACTACGAATATGTGTAGATGATGCTTCGGTGATGTACGAACAATTCTTTCTCATTTGTACAAATATTTATTTGGCATTGCAGGATCCTGGCCATTGATTCTTTAGTATCCAAAACCTATGAGTCTAAACTGTGTTGTCATCCTTGATGATTTCATAACATTGTTTCGCTATCTTACATCATTTTATTTTTTGTTCAAATTAAAATATTTCTAGATCTCAGGGTCATTTACTGATTTTCCTTCTATAGGATTTTTAGTGCTTTTTCCGTGAATTTTCAATATATTTAACATGAGGTGTACGTGCAGAGTCCAACAACAAACACTGTTTACACATTTCAGCAAGAACACACAAGAACCTGAATTAAAAAGGGCAATGTATTTGAGTCTTGCTAGTCACACTCGCCACTGCCATGGGCGGTCAGCCGCTCTGTACAGACATGATGGGGTTTACAAGTGACCTTTGACTTGCACAATAACATCATATACTCAAAGTAGTTACCACCGGCATTCAGACATTTGTTATCATGGCAAATGTCTGCTTGGGCAATTAGAAGAAACGGGCAGAGAGATTGCTGCAAATGCCATTTAAAATTGTAATGCCGGGATTGCCTTGTGGGAGAGCGTGTACAGTTTGGAGGAGAAGATGGATCACCACAGTCTACTGAGACTGATGCAGTGACGAGTGACGAGAGGTTCTGGCAGATGCTTGAGGCTCAGAGGACAGGCAAGACGGACGTTTAATCAGAATGCTACTGGCACTATTATTATCGGAACTCTTCACTGGCTGCTGAAGATGGGGACTAAGCGCTTATGGGAATACCCCGAGTGCTGTGATGTCAGTTCTCAAATCAACTCAACTCAACGCCGGGATTCATGCAACACATAAGTAATGACATCAGTTGGGGAAAAAACATCACACTGTTACCATAATCTTAATTTAAAAACAAAAAACTCATATAATTTATTTTGTTGGGTGGACACTGCATTTGACCTCAGTGAAAAACAACAGCATTATAGTTCTGCAATTGTCTGACACCCACTGACTAGGTGTTATGATTTTATGACCTTCAGGGACTCAAAGATTTAAGCCGAACAATAATACTGCTGTATTTATCACTGCAGTGCTTTCTAGAGGTCGTACTTAAAACAACAAACTCAATACAGCAATAAAACTGGCAGACAATGAAACATTTAATAAAAATAAAGTTACAGTTCACAAATACAATGAACATACACTGCAGATACACACTACAAGTGCTAGCAACATTTCTATGAGCTTTGTTTTTGTTTGTTTGTTGTTGTTGCAGGAAACATCGCAGTCTGCAAACAGCCATACAGAAAAAGGACAAAGTGGATGCAATATGGCGAAAGTCTCTGGCTTCTGGCTTTGTTCATTTAAGCTGCAGTCTTCTGGCAGATTTATGTTGGGCACAAAACTGGAAAAAAAAAATTTAATAAACATATAAATGCACATATATGCTGAATTCAATTGTTGTGAACCTTTCAGGCCAATGATATAGCATGACAAAACAAATTCACAAGTACTTGGCACTCACAGAGGCGCCCTATGTTGGCTATAGGGCCCACTTTCAGGAGTGAAAAAAAATAAAAATAAAAAAACCAATGCCCCTTAACAAGCACTTCACTCCGGACTTTTAAAAAAAATGCCCATGGCTCCCAGGTCAACCCAGCCTTGAGTGGGTACCGGGTGCAGTCCCGGAAAGTAGAGGCGGCCGGTGTGATGCTGACTTCATCACCCTTCTTGTGCCGATTGGTCTATAAAATATAGGTCAAGCCCCATATGCCCTATACGCCTAAAGGCGTGGAAAAGGGTCCTTTACTTTACTTACTAAACAAGTACAATGGTACCTCAAGTCATAAACGCTGTAGTCACAAACAAAGCATACACAAACACAATTTTCAAATAAATTTTGACTGGACCTGCGAACAATGCCTTGGTGGAGAAACATGGCTTTACTGTTGTGTATTTGACTCATAAACAGCATCAGTTGTACTCATGTTTGTACTCAGAAAAAAGTTTGCTGAGCTGCAACATGAAGTGATGAAAGTTATACAACAGCAGTAGCACTCAGGAGAGGAGAAGGAAGAAGAGTTGGTACAGGTTTCAAGTTCTGAGATCAAAGAAATGTATAGCGAGTGAAGGGAAGCACAGGCTTCCATTGAAAATTATCACCCCAACACAACTGTGACCAGCAGAGAAGTGGACGTACATTGTAAATGAGAATGTGATTTCAAATTTTCTGAACATTATTCAACAAAGAATCTAAGAATTATCTTGTGAAAGCACCAGCCACACAGCCAGCAGTTGAACCACTTCCTAGGATACAAAAAGAGAAAGAAACACTTGAAATACCTACATAGTTGCCCTATGTTATTATGCAATAAGACTACTCTCATTCGAAGGAGTAGTCTTCTCCCTCATCCTCCTCTACCAGAGTAAGCTTCTTCCTCATCCTCCTCTAACAGAGTAGTCTTCTTCCTCATCCTCCTCTAACAGAGAAGTCTTCTTCCTCATCCTCCTCTACCAGAGTAGTCTTCTTCCTCATCCTCCTCTAACAGTCTTCTCCCTCATCCAAAATGGGCGGATATTGCAGCCTACCTGTAAACCACAATACAAAATGCCAACCACCCTAAGGCCCTAGAACCCACATATGGAAACCCTATTATAATTTTAGCTTACCCGTTGGCACCTTTTTTGCCTTTCTAGATAATAGTATTATTTTGTGCTGAGGCTCCAAAATGGAGCCCTGAAACCCATGTAGGGAAATTGGAAACAATAATCCTACTTCTGCTGAGTATTAAATCTGGACCAGTATCTTGCCAGGTAAGCCTACTCTGCTGACCTGGAAGCCCTAGGTCAATTTTAAAAAAATCTTAATGTTTTTAGATTCACATACAATAGGCCAGCGTCCAGCCAAGTTTGTATGAGTTGTGGATACATTTATGCAGGACTAACGATCTATTAACTCTTTGAGTCCCAGGGGGTTTAGCATCAGAGGCCCAAAGGGTAGTCAAAAGGGACATAAAATAGGAGCATCTTGCGTTCATTGGGCTTCTATGTAGAAACCTATGAACGTATGATGCGTTCCTTGGGACTCAAAGAGTTAAGAAAATCAGACAAGCTTCATTTACCTTTGAGGATGTAGTCAGTAAGCAGAGTGGGAACTGTAGAACTATCCTCATTGATGGCTTGCAAAACTGAACAATGATAATGCAGAAAAATACATCACAGTTATCACTTTTCTCTCCATGAGGTTAGAGTCTGGGGTTAACAATGAAATACTTAAAAACTTGTGGAGGAAACATTACCAACATAGGTTAAACCCCACCTAGTCATTTTGTGCTGTGCTGAAAAAAAGATGAATTTTAAATGAGATGTATTCAAAAGAAGTGTAAAGAAAAATCAAAAAGGAAATGTCTGGGAAACCACTAACATCCTCAATTATAACACAGAGAAGATGTTGCTGTACTGGACACATTCTGTGAAGATATGAACAGAAGAGAATCACTAAACAGGCAACAAAATGGGAAACAGAGGGATAAAGGAAACAATCTTCAAGAGAAACCCTATGGGTGATGTGGTCAACATCACACCAGCCACCTTTACTTCCCAGGACTTCACCTGGTACACATTTAAGACTGGGTCGACCTTCGAGTCATGGTCATTATACACACACAAAAAAGTCTGGCTTTGTTCAGATTTGAACCCGCAACTCTTTCACAAAGGACTTATCACCCACCCATACTGGACAGTTAACAGATGTTGACCACATCACCCACCAAGTGCCGATTGGTCTATAAAATATAGGTCTAGCCCTATATGCCCAATACACCTGAAGGCCTGGAAAAGGGTCCTTTACTGACTTTATATTGGACAGCCTGTCAATGTGTAACTGTGGAACATCATCATATGACTGTAATATATGGCTGATCAGGGTTTCTGGGTTTTGTACCTGTTTGATACAGCAAACCAAATGGTTTAACCTTCTAGAGAGAATGCCTTGCAACGCCATACCATACAAGGTATATCCCAACAGAGAAGGACGCAGAGCGCAAGGTACACGAAGAACAAAATGGGAAGAAGACATCGAGGAACTCTACAACAGCACGATATATCCATGGTCGAGGCCACAAGAAGAGCAAGAAAGAAGTAGCAACTTATATCTTCCTCACCCAAAGCGGTAAAAGAGGAAGTGAAGGAGAAGACGAAGAAGCACCTGTTTGATTCTCATCCTTAAGATTTCAAACCTACAGGCAACAATGATGGAGGGAAATTAAAATTTAAAAAAATAAAAATTAAAAAAAAAAGCTTATCATTAGGATTGGCTAGATGCAGTCTGCAGACTTGCCATGTTATTCATTAAAAAAAAAGTAAACAGTACAGGACTTGGTTCTCAGCCACTATACTGAGGAGGAGATCCCAGCAACAATGGACTGAATATGAATAGTTCAATGTGCAATGAGGATTATCGTAGACTAACTGATTGTGACTTCTGTCTTAATCCACTGATCGATATGTCCCCTTCAGGCTGCTATCTGAAAGTTTACAACCTTGAAATTAAAAACACAATTAAAACTATGGTGATCTTAAGAGAGGAGAAGAAACATCAGATCATCATGGGACAGTATGCAGTGGAGCAGGTCAACCAGTTCAGCCTTGGAATTGTTACAGACCAAAACGGAGGCATTAAGACTGAGCTGGCTAAGTGGAAAGCAGCTGCTGTGAGACTCTTCCAGGCCATAAACCGAGGGCTTTTTAGCAAAATAGATATTGGCAAGAAGACTAAAATGGCTGTTTATGCGCTTTACCTAATATGCCAGTCCTGACCTATGGGTGGGAGTCATGGGTAATGACAACAGCTCACAGAAGCCAGCTTCAGGTCTCAGATATGAGATATCTGAGAAAGGTGGTCCAAGTGACAAAAAAGGGGCAGTTCGCAACCAAACAATATGCCAGGTTCTTGAAATCCAGGCAGTACATAAGTGAGTGGATCAGTCACAGTTACGATGGGAGAAATTCAGCCACCATGGCAGGCTAAGAACCAGGGAACCAGACCTTCAGGCCGTACATAAGTGAGTGGATCAGTCACAGTTACGATGGGAGAAATTCAGCCACCATGGCAGGCTAAGAACCAGGGAACCAGACCTCCAGGCCGTACATAAGTGAGTGGATCAGTCACAGTTACGATGGGAGAAATTCAGCCACCATGGCAGGCTAAGAACCAGGGAACCAGACCTCCAGGCCGTACATAAGTGAGTGGAACAGTCACAGTTACGATGGGAGAAATTCAGCCACCATGGTTAGGCTAAGAACCTTGGAACCAGACCTCCAGGCCGTACATAAGTGAGTGGATCAGTCACAGTTACGATGGGAGAAATTCAGCCACCATGGCAGGCTAAGAACCAGGGAACCAGACCTCCAGGCCGTACATAAGTGAGTGAATCAGTCACAGTTACGATGGGAGAAATTCAGCCACCATGGCAGGCTAAGAACCAGGGAACCAGACCTCCATGCCGTACATAAGTGGGTGGATCAGTCACAGTTACGATGGGAGAAATTCAGCCACCTTGGCAGGCTAAGAACCAGGGAACCAGACCTCCAGGCCGTACATAAGTGAGTGGATCAGTCACAGTTACGATGGGAAAAATTCAGCCACCATGGCAGGCTAAGAACCAGGGAACCAGACCTCCAGGACGACCCAGGGTGCGCTGGGAAGACAACATCCGACAGTCCCTCACTGACTGAGCACTGGAATGGAACAAAGCCAGAAAGAAAACTGCTAACAGAGACGTCTGGCGATCTCTCTGGCAAACCTCTACACCCCAAGGTAGAAGAGGGGTGACCAAGTAAGTAAGTAAGAGATTGAAAAGAATCTCAATATGATTGGTAGTTCAACAGGGCAGAACGCAAACACCCGATTAAGTCTCCAAAAAGGTTATAATTAGGACACCCACAAATGGGAAATAAATGGACTAAGGAGATGAGGACACCTAAAAGAAACCATTAAATGAATGTTGATAAGAGAGGCCAAAAATGCTGGACTGCATTCCATCCATGATGTCGAAGGGATTGCACAGGACAGACCTGAATGGAAGCATAGAGGGAATAGATTTCTCGTAGATTAAAAAATGTATCGGGTGGTTCACATCACGATCATGTGACCACGTCAGAAGTCTAAGGCTGAGGCTGGGGCAAATACAATTTTTTAGGAAACATGGTCACATCCAGGTCTCCTAAACACTGCACAGGTGCAGACATAACACAACACCATTAATTACGCTTCCTGGAGACCGGCCTTTGCAGTAAGTAATGAATGAAGTTCAAGCCCACTAGGACCGCAAAATTACAGATTAACATCCGGTGACACAAAGTGCCACCATTCGGATGAGAATCACCGGGCACAAGTCCCAGAAACCCCGTCCAACCATTAAATTATATTAGGGCCTAACAACAGCCACAGTGGGGCTTTAAAATAATGAAAAATTACATCCCATATTGGTACAATGTTAATTCAGTAAACAGCAGAAAGGCCAGGTAAGCATTATTTATGTGAATGAGCCAAAGATTGAAAATCTGGGTTCCTGACATTTGGATTAATACAGCCACCAGTAATAGGTTAAGGTTTTCATTTTTTGCGCCGCACAGCAATATATATATATATATATATATATATATATATATATATATATATATATATATATATATATATATATATATATATATATATATATATATATATTGGTTCTTTATTAATATCCTACCCAAGAAGACGTCACAAGACAGTCCCACATTTTAGAGAGTGGTAAGACTGGTTTTCCCGGCTTTCAGATCCCATGAATGCATACAGCCTTGGTCCCACGACTGCATGTAGCCTATCTACCACCCCTTGAAATATTAGACTGTCCTATGACCTGTGAATTTCCCCTGTTTAGAGTAGGATATTAATAAAACACCCATATATATATATATTTAAAAAAAATTATATATATATATATATATATATATTTTTTTTTTTTACCTTACTGAGAATTCAAACCTTTATATACAGACTGTATTTTCTTGATCACAGTTCTAACTCCTAAAAATTTATATTCAAGGTTCAGAAAAATCACGTGACAAGACAAAACAGAAAAGCATCATGATAAGAAGACTTACTTTTAATGTATATCTGGAGCTGTTCTGATGAAGGTGGCCCCTGCCATGGATGGTACGGTATGACTGTTGTTAAAAACTGTTTCAGATTTATACGAGAAAAAAAAACAGTTAGGAACACTTTTAAGAAAAAAACAATTTACAAAAAAACAATGCGACAGTTATGGAAAAATATTCCCACCAAAAAAGAAAGCGACACACTTTGTTAATTTAAAAAAAAATTTTTAAACAAAACTTGCCATTTACTGCTTTAATTTTACCACTGTTTGAGTCTGAGGATTTAAGGCCGCATGGCTAGTGCCGACAGAAAAAAATCACCAGGCTTACCAAAGATTCGAACCTATGTCTCCCGCTTGAGAGCTAAGCATTCTGACCGTTCAACCCGCCACTCTTCTACTTGTTAATAACTGTTTCCAAAAAAAAAAAAAAAAATCCATGCAGAATATTTTTCAAATGAAAAAAAATAAATTTATGTTTCATAAAAACTTTCAAGAAGAAAATAAAAAGATATTTTGTTACAAACTGTTATAAATATAATGACAATACAAATCAAATCAGCAGTTATAAAAATCTTTTTCAAATAAAAAACAAAATAGCAGTTATGAAGATTTGTTTGAAATTAAAAAGAAAACTGATGGTTAATATCCTTCTCCAATAAATAAACACAGCAATTTATCAAAAACTGCTTTAAAAAAATTCAAAATAAGAGCTGTTAAGACATCAAACTGAAAATAAAATAGCAGATTTTGAAATAGTCACAACTTGAAAAAAAAAAAACAGTGAAAGTCCAGACTTTGTTTTATCTTGCCAAGTTTAAAAACACAATTTCTTGGTACTGAATGAGGAAGAGGGCAAAATGAGTGAAGCAGTCACCAATCAAGGATTTATTTTAAAAACTAAACTGTCTCTTCTATCTCTGGCCAACCTTTTCCCATCTGTGTAATTACTTATGAATTAACAGTTTTTGAAAAAAAAGAAAGTATATTTTGTTGTTGTAAGTGAGCTTACGTTTTATATTAATGTTTTAGTTCATTTTAAATATATGTGTATGTGTGTGTGTTTATACTGCACAGTGAACATGATTTTGTCTGCAGTTATGTTTGACATTATAAATGTTATTTTCAAATATGAATAATATTTTTATTTTCGGACTTCCTTTTTTCCCGTTATAAATGTTTAAAACGTACAGTACATAAGAAACATTTATAAATTACTGGCCTGCACTAAGCGGCCAGAAAATATGAACAAGAGCAGGTTTTGGTATAAACAGAATGTTTTTAATGATACTGCTCCGGTGGAAACTGGATTTTTATAGAACTCCAGCATATCTGGCCTTTTTGTAATCCGGTCTATCTTTCAACACATTAGGTTACATATTGCAGAGTCTACTGTATTCCAAATCAAAACCCCACAAGTGACAGTAACAAAAGAATACATTCAAAACAGTCACAAGCAACATTATTAACAGAATATATTCCAAAACTCATAATCTCACAGGCAACAATAAAAACAAAATACAACAAGACAAACACAAAATGGAAAACTAACATTGCCACTTCCGGCCTCATTTGAGGCATTTCCTCCACTCTTGGTTTTCTTTTTCTTTTGATCGCTGTGGCATTCCCGCCGCTTTTTCTGGATGGTCAGCAGCAAGGAAATAAACTGATTTTTCAGCTCCTTGTCGAACTCAAGCTCATCCCGGAGGGCCAGTTCAGTGACCAGCATTTCAGACAACACGTTGGTGGCGCTATCTATCTCAGCTAGAAGTTCGTGTAACTGTGTCTGGGTCATGCCTTTCACTTCTGAAAATGTATAAAAATGGACAGTAGTTCATAGCGAAACAACTGAGAACATGAAGTTGCTGAATAGCAGGTTTAATTTTATGTCATGTGTGGACTTCTGGCCAATAACCAGCAGAACGCCGACTCTCTGAAATGTTATTTGTATCCGCAAATTCCCTATTTCTGGACCAGAAATCCAAATATTTAATCACCCAGCTACTGACATGAGTGCTTGGTGCAACACTGTGAGCTGTGGTTTTCATGTGGAGTTTTTTTTTTCTTTTCTCTACGGTGCTCACTGTGTGTTGTTGATTACACACAAAAACTTTGCTGGAACTGACAAGTTATTCACTAGTTTTTAAATAGAACAGTGAAGGACTTTCTGTGTGATTTTCACTGGCACAGAATGGATCAGTTATAGGGCGACCTATCTGTACTGATGTTAGAACCTCAGCTTACTAACTTATATCATGTGTCAACATCCAGTGGAAACTTAAGGCCATGACTAACAGAGTCTGTTGGTCATTAGGATATGGTGTGTTTTTCAAAAGATGTTTAAAAGCAAAAGGGTCAACTACAGCACATAGTTTTTTTCTCATTAGGCTCAGTCTCTTTCAGCAGAGCAGCTTTTTGGCAGCTGATTCAGTTGTACAAAGCACAAAGCTCTGTAGCTAGACTGACAATGCCAAGTGATCTCAAAAACATCTGCACTTGCAAACCAACGAAGGATAGAGTTTGAACCAACAATCTTCAGAAGGCAAGACAAACAACTCCCACTTTGCCATGGAGACCTCCAGGGTTTGGTTATAAGTGATTGTGGTATACTTGAGTAATCTACATATGCAAATGTGTAGGTGTTTCTAAGTGTGGTACAAGTCTATGTGTCAGATTATGTGGAATACAGTATAGCTAAGAGTGTGTGTCAATAAGCTGCGTCTTCCATAATGAAGGCTGACAGCAATGAATCTCCAACATTGTCTCTTGTCTTGGTAGTACACTCTCTCTGATTGCTGTTTGTCTATCTATTGATGTTGTCTCCCACTTGTATCATTGTCTTCCTCTTGCTCTCTCTTGCCTTTATTTTTTTTCTCCATTATATATATTTTTTTTTTAAAGGTGGGGGGTGTTGTATCTTTTAATGTGGCCAACATATTTCAGTTGTTTCTTCTGTATTTCTTTCTCTTCATTCTAAGTCTCTTCAGAACCTCCGTATTTGATAGTTTATGTTTCCATGAAATATGACCTATCCTTCTGTATATCATATCTCCAGAGGCACAATTTGATTTTCTGGCTACTTATTCATTGTCCATGTTTCTGCCTTTTCTCTAGGTACTTCAATTCCATAGGTCAGAAAACAGTTCAATACTCTTTCAATTATTGATCACCGGGTAGAAACCTGGCATCTGATAAAAAAAAAAAAAATTAGAGCTGACTGCTCTACTGAAGATCTAAGTGTGCTCTAGTGAGGATCTAAGTGTGCTATATTGAGGATCTAAGTGTGCTATATTGAAGATCTAAGTGTGCTCTACTGAAGATCTAAGTGTGCTCTAGTGAGGATCTAAGTGTGCTATATTGAGAATCTAAGTGTGTTATACTGAAGATCTAAGAGTGTTATATTGAAGATCTAAGTGCGCTCTACTGAAGATCTAAGAGTGCTCTAGTGAGTGAGAATCTAAGTGCTCTTCCCTTATGGATTCATCTGTCTAAAAACAGATGTGATCAAGGCCCTTTGGGAGCAAGAGAACAATGCAGAGGCATGAACAGATCATTATGGTCTGGGCAGAATGGTACAACTAGGAGTGATCAAGAAAAGGCAAGATGGACATAAAATCAAACTGCTGCTGGTACTACCGAAAGTGGAACTTCTTGCTTGCAGCTGAAGATAAGGACTGAACACTTATGGGAATGACCCTAGTGTCCAAAAAAAACACACAAAATAGTCACACAGCAGATACTGCCACTGGGTGTGAAGTTAAAGAAAGACTTTCACATATTCTAGGCCAGGACATTCTCTGGGGCTCAGCCAGTTACCTAAGTGTTAAATCCCTGTTTCGAGAAGATTGCGCCTAAATATTGAGATCTCTATGAAATGTGTGCAGCTGCGTGAAAACTAAAACTTAATTTTGACCAGTTTGAAGCAGGAATTCATGTGTGCATTTGGCTGGCATATTGTAAAGGGACAAATAGCTTCTTCTAATAAGTTCTTCTTCTTTGCTTTTAGCCGCTGTAAACTCAGGCGGAAAATTTTTGTTGTTTATCCACCTCTGGATTTTAGTCTTGTTTCAGTCTCATGTGGGTTTGCAAACATAAAGAAGAAGAAAAGACTTGTTCCAAAACCTGAGTGTTGCGTGCAATTATGTTTTACAGTTCTGACTTATCTCTAAGCAGACTACTGGTTCCTTAAATTTCAAGCAGATGGACTCCAATTTCAAAGGTAGCCCCTAAATGGTCGACTCTTAAAGCTTGCTTGCTGGGGAAGGCAGTGAGTCTGTTCTTGTTTTCCCCACAATAGAGCCCTGTGACTTTGGCACTTGGGTGACTCTGGCACATGAGATGGAGTGGTCGGTTCCCTTCCTTGTATCTTTTATGCCTCTCTCTTTTTCTTTTAAGCTCTTTCACATGTGTGCATATATATGTGCCTGCGTGTCTGTAATTAAAATTATTAATTTAATGTACTGCAATTCACGTATAAGTTAAAAACTTATATTAGACCGCCGAAACTAGTGTTATAAGAACAGTACGATCTTTTCTATTTAGAATTCTACAGACCCAGTTTAACATTTTACAATCATGAACTGAACAATATTTAATTAAAATACTGATGTACTTCTGAATAAGCGGGTTATCTAACCTTCTCTGGTGTATGCAGCAAGAGTGGCCACTGAGTGCTTCACCTTTGTGTACGTTTCATCCTCTGGCGTGTCCTGCATGGCATTGTAATAGTCATCAGAAGAAGGTTCCTGAAGATGATAATATAGTTAAAGTTAAAGTCAAGAGACTGACTTCATTGCACCGAGTTTTATCCCATATGGCTCGGTCTCTCTCCATTTACTGGAGAATCCTAACAAGGTTTTCCCTTACTTTCTCCGTCCAGACAAAAAGGTTCCTTACTTTTTTTCTCTTCCTCCAGTTAGCTCAGTTAAGTGTTTGAAGGGTGGGGGAAGAGGGAAGGGAGGAAACGGAGAAGGAAAGTTAGGATGTAAGGATCATCTATGTGATATTTCTATAACTTTCTTTATTTCTCTAAGATGTTTCTTTATGATGTTATTCCCTATTTTGCACAGTTTTCCCACTGTTCTGTGCTAATCAAATCTGGACCCTTTGGTCCAAAGATGCCATCAATTCAGCAACAACATCAGTCACAAATCTTTGTAAAAGCCACTAAACCAGCACTGCTGCACTGGCCAGTCCCCGACACATAAGCTTAGTTAATGGCATTTTTTCTGTTTGCACTTGCCCAGTGTTTGAGGGCCTTGTATGATTATATTGATTAAAAACAGCATTTTGAAAGGTTTTCAGGGGGGAAAATTGGCTCTTTAAAGCCATGATGACATTATAATTCTCCTTTAGCATTTAGTAGTTGCACAGTCCTTTAGCATTTAGTAGTTGCACAGCAAAGAGGACACAGGGCTGCGAATGCCAAGAAGAAGACGTTACCATGGCAATTCTCCTAAGACATCTTATTTATGCCGATTTTCCATTTAAAATGTTTATATATTATACATATTCTATGTGAAATCACAAATCAAATCATTATTGTAGGTAGCTCCTTCACTATTAGAACTTTTATTACAGTAATTGTTAACTGCTGTCTTCATTTTGATGTACACTGATAATTCACTGATATTTCATTGGAATGTCAGTGAACAAATTAGGAAGAATTTGGAAGCAACAGAGACGTGGTTTCTGAGATGAATGTTACAAATACCTTGGACGGCTAGAGTAACTTACAATTGCTTTAAAAAAAGCTAATGAAAGTAGATCTCTACATAAAACAATAGGAAAACATAGGAGACAAACACTGTTCTTTTGCCACATAATGAGAAGAGAGACATTGGAGAATATTGTGACAACTGGAAAGATCAGTGGAAAAGGGGGCAGAGGCAGACCAAGAGAGATGATGCTTAAGGGGCTGAAACGATGGCATGGAGGGATATCATCAAGAGAGCTGTTCCAGGCAACTAGGGGGAGATGCATGAGCGCCTACGCCAGTTGGCATGGCACATGATGATGATGATATTTCCCTTTTGAGAGACCAGTGGCATGTCTATCTCATTATCATTATGTAGCAGATCCTTTGCAGAATCTGCCTGAAAAAAAAAAAAACTTGCCAGCTCTGCCATCTAAGACACTTTCCTATCCAAGGTGTCATTTATACCCTGTGCCCATCTTCGTGCTGCTCAACCCTTGCCCCTCTGTCCCAGTATCCAGCCTTCTGCTGTTATTTTGTCCAACCCACTATAGCTCTTAATAAGGCAAAAATATTTCAGTTTCTGAGACAAGATGCTGTTTACCAGCTAATCTTACTTGATTTTCAGATCTTTCAGAATGTTAGTATTTCTGTTCTTCTTTGTTCCTGATCATGTCAATCTACTAATAACAGAATCCAAAAATTATTCTTCATACAACTTTAGATCTGTAGATTATCTGGACTACAGTCAAAAAAAAAGTCTAAAGCTGAGCCCTTACCTTCATCATATCATCAATCTGACTAATGACCTCATCAGCAGTCAGTACCTTGTCCTCCTCTTCAGGATGCAGGCTGGTGACTATCAGAGAATGCATATCAAAGGCCTGTGATAAATCCTCATCGTCGGACAGGTCCAAACGCAATGGTTCACGTTCCTGCATACAGAACACAAGGGCGGTGTACAATTACTAAATAAAAAACCCCAGATCACTGATTACCAAGATTATAGTACATTGGGTATACTCACAGTTCCTCTTCTTCTTCTTCATCAGCTGTACACTCTGGCGGAAAGGTCTGGTTGTTCATCCACTTCTGGACTGCAGTCGTGTTTCAGAACCTGAGTGTTGCATGGGCATCCGTTTTACAGATCTGACTCATCTGTATGCAGACTGCTGGTTCCTTGCCTCTCAGGCTGAGGCACTCCGACTGTAAAGGAAGCTCCCAATTATTCGACTCTTACGACAAGCTTTTGGGTAGGCAGTGGGTCTATTCTTGTTTTCCCTATAACAGGGTCCCGGAACTCACACAGGGAACAGATCCTCTGTCTCCCATAGCGAATGTCTTGCTTAGTGACAACTGCCAAACTTGGTCTTCATGGCACAAGGGGTCACCCATGAGTGCTCCGTTCTACTTCTGCCTCTAGTCTGAATCTGAAAAATCTCAGCGCAGTGCACAAACTCCGTAGCACCGGTGAGGATCTTGAAATACTTTGGGTAGATTTTTAACTCAACATTTTGCCCGGGCAGCGCCATTAAGCTACTCTTTTTGACTTCTAAAGGGATTTTTTATGTGCACAACAATACACACAGGTGTCTGATCTTACTACCCAGAGACCAGGAGAAATGACTAGAAGTCTACACGAAAAAATGGCAGCTTTCACCGGGGCCTGAACACGGGACCTCCAGCACTCGAGGTGGACGCCATGCCTCGAGACCACACAACCCCCTTACAAACTATGAAACAACTCACAAACTATGTAATAACCCACAAATTATGTAACAACTTACAAACTGTAACAATTCACAAAATTCATAACAACTCATAAACTATATAACAACACAAATACTGTGTAACAAAACATAAACTCTGTCAACTTACCTTTTTCTCTCCGATGTTAAGAACACGATTATGCAAAGTTCTTGTATAAGATTTTGACCAATCAATGGGAAGTATATTACCAAAGTTTCCAGTAATTGTCCACCACATTCTGAAATATGAAACAACACTTACAATGAACAACACTTACAATGAACAACACTTACAATAAACAACACTTACAATGAACAACACTTACAATAAAACATCAGACAAACTGCTCCAACATTAACATGGCTTCGGTGAAGATTTTCCATCCAAGACTAATAAAATATATGGATTGCTAATGCAAGCTCTTCTGATCTGGCAGCTTCTGCAGCCTTTGTTCCAAACGTACTGGGTGTTATCTTTATTTTGGAGTAAACAAGGCGATCGACAGAGGGATCATGATGGATAGGCAACATATGGACTCTACAATACCGCCCAGGCTTTGTGTTCTGGACAGGACAAACTTCCTTGTGAGAACAAAATGCCACTGACCATGTTGTGTAAAGAGGGCACATCAGGAAGGGAATGAAAATGAAGGAAGAAATGATTGCAGAAAGGATGAGAGCTGAGTGTCTGAGAAGAAACGGACTAAACACAAATGCTGACAACAATGGCCCTGAAATCCCATGCTATAATTGTGGAAGACGTTTTTTAAAAAGCGAGCCGGTCTTGCTGGTCACACTCGCCATTGCCATGGGCTGTGAGTCCTATGCCTCCTTATAGCGCAATATAACACTCTTTGGAGACGGAAAAGTGCCAATCAAAATGCAAGCAAGAAGAAGCATGATCTGAGCTGATGTAATCCCAGCCGGATGGTCTAGATTGGTGTGTGACGAGTCTCTGATGCCAACCTGTTTAGGTGACCTGGCAGTACACAGCCTGGTGAAGCATGTCTATGCTATTTTCGATGTTAAGCTATGAGATATTATAAACTAACTTTGGATGGGAACAATCAGTTAAAGTACCTTGAGGAAACTGCTGCATTAGGAGACTGAGCAGATATGGGAATGTCCTATGTGCAGTGACATTGATCCTAATAAAATAACAAAAAAAACAAAATACTTGAGAGAAAGGTCAAAGGCAAGAGGCAGACAATGATACAAGTGGGATGACAACATCAACAGATGGACGAACAGCAGTCTGAGAGAGTTTACAACCAAGACAAGAGATTGAGCGTGATGGAGATCCCTTGCAGCCAACCCTCACTGTGGCCACGCCACCTGACTGACTGACTAATACTGATGGATTATAATCATCATCAAGTGCCTCGTCATTTTGGTTGGGTGATCATGCATCTCCATACTTTGTGATTTTTAACAGCCTATACCTGTTTGTGTGTTGAAACTGTGATGGATATGCAGATTATAAAGGGGGATTCTTCTTTCCACATTCTTCTATGTTTTGTATTCGCCTGGAAAACTTCACAGATGTCTTAATGCTTGCTATTCAGACAAGTGTCACGGTGTTGACATGTATTTCCTGGTTGCATGTCACATCAATGTCGTCTTCATCAAGGAACATTTCCAGTGCAGCTTCACTGTTTACGACTTCTACGTAAAGGAATTAAGCCAGAAATAATAAAGAAACACAAGCAGAGCAGGGAACTTGCTGATAAAGTAGATGGAAAGGACATGGGGTGAGATGCATACACATGCAAGAAATAGACTACTTGATGAGGGTTGTTTGACAGCCTATGTTCCATTTGGGTATTTTTTGTTGTTCTTAAAGTTGGAAGTTGTGGGGTGAAAGGGGGAAAAGGGGTGGGGGTGGGGGGGGGGGGGTTTAAAGGAAGAGGAAGTTGTGGATGAAGAAGTCTCCAACCTTGCAGTATATGTGGTGTATACTTCTGATTAGGCTGTTGCTCTTGCTTTTTTTTTTCTTGCACCCTGATGACACAGAACACAAGAAGGGGTCATATCTAGGGGATCCAAGCATGCCTGGTCGACCCAGAATATAAAGGATACCATAGTAAATACTGGGAAGTAATGGCAGCTGAAGTGATTTTGATGGCAACACCCATCGAGTGCCGACTGGTCTTAAAAATATGGGTCTAGTTCTGTTTGCCTGAAGATGTTTTGAAATTAACCCTCCTCTAAGCGGCAATGAGGTTTGCAAATCATAGACACCATGTTCAACCGTATATATATGTTATACTAGTTAGTTAGCTGACAGATAACTATTACTTCCCGTTCTTTTTAGGATGGAATTTTTTGTTATTTGAAGCTTTACTCTGGCTCTTGCCAGGGGCCGCAATATAGCCTGATCATAAATATGGCCTAAAGGCTGAACGCGGTTTCTGGGACCTCTCCACGGTGACCCTCACCCGCATGGTGGCACACTGTGTCATCAGGTGTTTATTGCTTGTGTATGTCCTGGTTAGGAAGTCAGTCTGGCTTAGTTGACAGATTATCCTCATTGCACATCGAACCATTCAGTCGATAAGGGCTCGGATCCCCTCCTTAGTAAATCACAAGGCGTGGAGAGGCTCATGACACCAGTTCTGTGTTGCCTTCTTATTCATCTTTGGCTTCCCGCATAGTGCTCTCACCTGGCCACACCCCTTTTAACATCTCGTTCGTGCAGTCTGGTCACGGTTACAGATTCAGTCATTGCTTGGTTCTGACAAACGTCTTACTTCTCGAATAACCTTCAGAAAATCAGCATAGTCCATTACTTTTTTACCCTCCACAGTAGCTTGACCTGCAAGCCAATCAGCTTGTTCATTTCCTTGCACCAATATGAAACTAATATGTGTTAGCCCCAACCGATTCAGAGACTCCATATATATATATGTTATACTGGGACACCCTACAATTACCAAATAACCTGCTGTTGTGCGTGCGTGAGTAATACCACAAACAATGCCGTGACTGGGACCTTTACTTTTACATTTCGCTGCAGAAATAGTCACCCTCTAATGAAACAGATAACGAGATAACAATTTAATTATTGACGATAAGAGTTGTGCTGGAGAAAAGTCCGAGAACTGATTGCCAACCCAGCCTCCCAACAACGATACCAACAGCAGTAAATGGGGCTGCGCTTTCAATGGCAGGCGTCAATCGATCAGGAACGTGGCGGAAACGCGCCCAGATAACTACGCGGCCAGAGGTAGTAAAATGGGATCCAAGCCAGGACCGCTTCCAGCCCGCACCCTGGCTCCGGCTGTGGACGACAGGGAGGTTGGGTTACTATGAGTCTCTCACCTCCATCCAGCCCCCTCCTCCCAGCGATATGTGGCTGTGTGTTGGAGGAGAAAGGCGGAGACTGAATCGATACACGAGGTGACTCACTGAGCAGAGTGAGAGAATAAAAGAAACAGGCTTTGCAAGCCAAACCTCTTGTCTTATTCGGAACGGCAGACAAATACAACAAAATTAGCTTTATCTGGGAAGTATAGGCGGTCAGCGTGATGCTAACGACAACACACTTCGGGGTCTATAACAAACATACCTAGCATCATATAACAGACGTGCTAATGGCGTACAACAATGCCCCTCCCTGACTTAAACCCTTTTCTACACCTACATATGTATTGGGCGCATAGGGCTATACATATATTTTAAGGACCGATCGGCACTTGGTGGGTGATGTGTTAAGCATCACGTCAGCCGCCTTTACTTCCCAGGACTTTATCTGGTATCAATTTAAGGCTGGGTCGACCTGGGAGCCAAGGTCATTTTAAAGAAAAAAGTTCTTATATATGTCTGGGTTGATCTAATTAAAGGCGAAGTCAGATAAGAATTATTCAGAGGGCCAAAGAAAAACAGGAAGCCTCAGAACCAGTGCAGCTAGATGCTATAGGTACAATGAGGTGGCCATCTCAACAGTTATGGTAGCGGCGCCGGCACAATGAAAACAGTGGATTGGAGAGGGAAGGAAAGGAGCTCGAGGGGCATAAGCATTGCTAAGTAGTTCACTATAACAATAATAATATGACAGTAGTATTAATAAGCTCAATATATTTGAACAATTGAAAAACAGAAAACCTACCTATGGTTAGTCTGAGTCTAAAACGGCGGTTCTCAACCTGCCAGTAGCGACCCTTTTTTGGGTCGAACGACCCGACCCTTTCACAGGGTTCGCCTAAAACCATTCATTTCATTTATAATAGCTTAAGCAGAAAATCACTGCGGGAAATGAATCCTGGAATATTATGGTTTACCAGTAAAGATAATAAACAGAATATAAGCAATGTACGGGGGCTCTAATTGTGCAGTGCGCAAAGTCGAGGGTTTAAGTGATTGGTTTGCAGTCGAAATCGGCGTGAAATAATATGTACGTGTGTTCCCCTGTTATTTGTCAAAACTATTGACTGGACCGACATCACAAAATTGGAGGACTTGGATTTTGTAGATAATATCGTTCTGCTAAATGAGAACAGCAATCACAAAGAAAAACAGATAATTTAGCAAATATAGCATCAAGATTACAAATAAGTTATGGAAGGACGCATATTCTAAAGACATTAATAACAGATCAAGCAGATCAGTTTATATTTGTAACTCAATGAGTCCCAGAGGGTGTAGCATCATAGGCCCAACGGGTAGTAAGGAGAGACATAAAATCAGCGTATCATGCGTGCATTACGCTTCTAGGTAGGAACATATGAACGTATGCTGCGTTCCTTGGGACTCAAAAGAGTTAAGCAGCAATTTTGATTTTCAAGAAAACACAATCAAAGAAAGTATGATCCGCAATGAAGCACTTGCAAGTCTGAATACAATATGTAACTCTAAATTATACAGATTTTAACCCCAAGTTACGTATTTTTAATTCCAGTTTTGTTTCATTTTCATAATCTGTTTAAATCACCAGTGATCACCAGCACCATGAACGTTAACAGGCTAAAATGGCTACGGCACACTGAGATAATGTCAGATGTCAGGGAGGTCAAAACTGGTACACATGAGAACTTAATGGTCACAGACCACGAGGCAGACAAAATACGACGGAGAGATAATATTCAGGTAGATTTATAAACATTTGCTGTCACCAACTGGGAAGAGAAGGTTAATAAGCGAGATTAGTCGAGGCGCGTATTACTTAGTCTGAAAACACGAGGACATTTCTCACGCTCTACAATATTTTTGTTATGAATATTCTTCTTCTTCTTCTTTGCGT